ATTCCTGACACACAATTATATTTGCAGCTCTAGTTCAAGGGCTTATGACAACTGAGATGCTTTTTTCCTACTGTTGTTGGTCTTATTGCTCACCAGGTAGCAACACTTACATCATTATAGTATCTCACTGTGTCCCATTACATTTACAGCTTCACACTCCAGACATAGTCCCCCATTATGGAAACATTTCTTTCATCATAACTGGGTCCGTAAGTGTCAGGGCTTAGTTTATTCTCACCCTGCCTACCATATGCTCATGCTCAACCATTTAATTGTGGACAGCAGTGTTTGTTAAGATTATGAAGATCGTGATTTGTAATGGGATTGAATGTGATTGTGTCCCTGCTTAAAGAACAATGAGAAGAGCATGTTTTTACTTGTCTTCATCATGCTCTAGTATAATGAGAATCAGTATCCCCTTCCTGGGTAACATGTTCTTATGAAATAGCTTAAACATTACACTAGTGTATTTTCAAAAATAAACATGGATTCTGTCTACCCTCCCACTCTACTGGATCCTAAAATACCCTGCTATATTAATCTGTAGCTGTCCCTTGTGTCTCAGCCCTTAGTAATTTGCCCACTCATTAAAGATGCTTATAAAACATTCCAATTATATATTTAAATCACTAGAGCATCTACCATTTGGTCCCTTGCATGTGGATTTGCTCTTTTGTTAGAGAAATAAATCATTTGCTCTCTATTTATAGTTTAAAGAGACTGGTTATTTAATAATTGCTTTCGTTTTGGAATAAGGGAAGGTAAAAAAGAATGAGCTCTTAATACTTTCCAATATTACTTTAATTTTCCAAATCTTGTGCAGAAGTCTGCCTACTTTCAGAAAAGGATTCTAATTCTTTCCAAGTGTCCTGTTCTTTTGCATGTGCATTTTAACAGAATCTTTTTATCAGATTTGAGGTAGGTGGGTAAAATAAATCTATATCTGTATATGTAAGTAGATAGATAAATAGATAGTGTATGTATACACACACACACACACACACACACAAGTTCCTTGATACAACATTTTAACAGAAAAAAAATGCTTTAGGAGTAAGTGGCTGAATGGTTAAGGAACCAGCTTGTGGTATGCAATATATTATATTTTCAGAGCCATCATTTCCTTTCACAAAAAATTGCTTTGGGAGATTTTGAAGGATGCTTGCGTCTCCATTGTCATATCTGGCAGTAAGCTCCAGGCAATAAGGTAGACAAGCTCACACCAAAAGGGAAGATCACACCATTTTGGCTGATTCCATCTGTGTGGATTTACAGTTTTTTAGGCAGTGTAGGTGGTTGGTGAGAGGGTCCCTGAATACACTAAAACTGAAACCACTGAGGTGTATAGATTGATAGGAATGGGCATAGATGGGAAGGTCAACTGGGGCCAGTTTTTTTGAGTAGCTAGGGGAGTTAAGGATATTTACTAATAGATTATCTCTGTAGGAGAGTGTGATTATAGTGGGTTAGAAGATGCATTTAGAAATATTGGAAGCAGGAAATAGAGCAAGTAAGATCTAAAGGACTTTATTGGACTTAACTCTACCTGCTACCAGATGGAAGTCAGCTGTAGGCAACTTCAGGTGCCAGCAACACTGTGTGGGATAGCCCATTCCCAGAAATACACACACACACACACACACACACACACACACACACACACACACACACACACGTATGTGTATATGTATGCATGTGTGTATGTATGTGCATTTATGTATACGTATATATACATGTACGTACATACATACATACATACATACATACATACATACATACATACATACATACATACACACACACATACATACATACACACATCATAAAACCCAGGATACCATAATCAGTCGATCAATCAACAAACATTTATTAAACACTGGTTATATGCCAGTCACTATGTTAGGTGCCAGGGATACAAAGACAGTTAAATAGGCCTTGCCTAAATAGTTTACATTCTGATGGGGGAACACAAGCTATACATGTATAGGTATATACAAATGTACATGGATGTGTACATATGTACAAAACAGACACAAAATAGAGTCAAAATAACCTTGGCAGGGACGGCACTAGCAGATGGTTGGGAGGAGAGGACCAAGGAGGGAATGGAAAAATCCCATATAGAAAGTTTCATTTTAACTGAGTTTTGAAGAAAATCAGAGATTCCAAGAAGCATAAGTGGGATGAGAGAATATTCCACGCTTGGGGGCAGCAGCCAGAGCAAAGACACAGTCGGGAGATGGAGCGCCATGTGTGAGGAAAGCAAGAAGTACAATATGGCTGGGCGTAGTGTGTACGAGGCTGGAAAATTAGGTTGGAACCAGATCGTGAAGAGCTTTGCAGGACAAACAGGATTTTGTATTTGATTCTGGAGGTAATAGTGAGCCACGGGAGTTTACTGAGTAGGGGAATGACCTGCACATAAGGAAAATCTTTGATGGTTATATGGAAGATGAATTGGAGTGGCAGGAGCCTTGAGGAAGGGAGACCAATTTGAATGCTGTAGCAAGAGTCCAGACAAGAGGTGATGGAGCCTAATTTAGGCCCTCAAAGATATGCAGATTTTAGTACAATGCTCAGTTCTGGATTGGTACATCAAAGAAAAACTCTTCCCTAACTGATGGAGAGTGATGGCTGGGGTTAAGATTTGGAATCCCTCATTTAATCCAACAGTTCATTTAAATAAGCATTTATTAAGTGTGTTAAGTGTCAATCGCTGTTCTAGGTTCTGGGATAAAAATGAACAGTCACTCCCCTCATGTAGCTTACATTCTACTAGATGAAGAATCATATTTCATGTAAAGTAAATACAAAATCGGTATAAATGGATTAGCCTAATACATCGAGAGGTCTAGGTGCCTTTTCTTTTCAGATGCTCATTAGGATGCACAAGGAATATCAACTGGTACCATAATCTGTAAATGTTATCATTGAACAATCAAGGGAGTTTATGAATTTCTGAATCAACTGGTTGGTTTATAGGTTATGACTAATTGTGGAGGGGCTTCAGTGTTGGTGACCTCATTAAGTGTCAGGTGGGAAGGAAAAGGGCATGTAGAATTTGACTGTGACTTCTTTGATAGGCAGCTAGATAGTGCAGTGGATAGAGGCAGGGTATTGAGTCTGGAGGTTTGCTGTGTAATCATTTTTTCAGTCATGTCTGAACCTGTTTGGGGTTTTCTTGGCACAGATCCTGAAGTAGTTTTCCATTTCCTTCTCCAGATGATTTTACAAATGAGGAAACTGAGGCAAATGGGGTTAAGTGAGTTGCCCAGGGTCACACAGCTAGTAAGTGTCTCTGAGGCTGGATTTGAACCTAGGAAGATCAGTTCTTGACTCCAGGTCTGGCATTCTATCCACTGTGCAACCTAGCTGCCCTGGAGTCAGGAAGGCCTAAGTTCACATCTGGCCTTAGATACTTTAGTTGTGTGGCCCTTGGCAAGTCACTTAACCTCTGTTTGCCTTAATTTCCTCCAGCTCAGAAATGAGCTAGAGAAGGAAATAGCAGACCATTCCAGTATCTTTGCCAAGAACAGCCCAAAGGGGTTCGTGAAGAATCAGACACAACTGAACAACAACAACAACACGACCTCTTTTATCTACCTTCCTGTCTTTAGGCCACTGGCTGGCCTGTCTCAGTGGGAACTTTACTGATGCTAATATCTTCCTGGCATCAGAAGGCTGTACCTTCACAACAGAAGGCAGTTTTTTCCAGGGAGCTACGAGGTAGCTTTCCACACTCATCTGAACTTGAAAAGGGGATCTTTTTGCAGCCTTAAAGGATATTTCAGTGGCTGAGGAAGTGAATAGCCTTCCCCAAGGAGTCTCTTGAGGGATCACACCTTTAATTATATACAGAAACTAAATACACTCTGAGTGTAACTGACCGCTAGGTCTGAAGGTTGACAAGCATTCTTTAAAAAAAAAAAAAAGAGGTAGGGGCAGCTAGGTGGCACAGTGGATAGAGCATTGGCCCTGAAGTCAGGAGGACCTGAGTTCAGATGTGACCTCAGACACATAACACTCACTAGCTGTATGACTCTGGGCAAGTCACTTAACCCCAATTGCCCACACACACACACACACACACACACACACACACACACACACACACGCCAAGAAAAAAAAAAGAGGTAACAGTATAAATAGGAAGAGCTTTAATCAAAGTAGCTAATTCTGCATTTTATTTTAATATCCTTTATCAACAGCAAATGAGTTCATCTTGTAGTGCCTGTTTTCTTATACCTGCCAAAAAATAATGAATACCAAATCTGACTGCTCTGTGTATTCTGCTCAGCATATTCTAAGCTCCTAACAAATATAAAAGTCATGCATATAATAATGCTGTAGTTTTTAGCTACAAAAAAAAAGAGATCCCATGAAACTCACCTATTTATATTTGCATTTAAGTGGTAACATTAAAAGGTACTCCAGAATACTGGTTGTTCATCTTTTAAAGTGCTAAGGGTTACTTGAATTTTAAATAGATGCTTTCATAAGCCCTTATTCAAATTGAGAACATAAAGAAAACTTAAGGGAATATATCATGGTAGAAATATTTACAGAGTCCAAAGATCTGGATGGAACTTCCTTTAATAGATAGTCATTAAATATCTAGTGTTTGCAAAGCAGTGTGCTGGAAACTAGGGGTGCACTGGGGGGAGGGGAATGGGAAAGAAAAAGTCCTGCCCTCACGGAGTTTATATTCTCCTGGAACAGTTCATAGGCACTTCCTAGCAGTGAGAACTCGAATGAAATCACTGTGCTTCTCAGATCCTTAGACGCCTCAACTTTAAAATGGGATCATACTTGCTCTGCCTATTCCACAGGATTGATATATCATTCATATCTATATCTATATAGGTATAGATATATACACATGCACATGGACACAGCTATAATTATATAAATATTATACACAGATACATGCATATATATGTATGTATTTGTATGTATGTGATGCATGAGTATATATACAGTCGTGTGTGTACATATATACACATACATGTATATATGTTTTTAACAGTAAAATTCTTGGTAAAATACTTAATAAAAGTATTCACCAAAGGTGCAGAAGACACTTTCTTAGGTAATACCATATCTGCAGCTGATTTATTTCAGATAACGATATGCACAGTCAGTTCCCTTAAGCTAGAGTTCATTAAAACATAGGATAGATTTGTTACAATATTTATTTTCAACCTCACTGATATTGGACTGCATCTGGTTCTAGTATATAAGCTTAAGTGATATGTTATGTAATCTATATGCTGTGGTATAATGGAAGAGACAGTGGATTTGCAGTCAGATCCTGGGATCAAATACCAGCTCTGCTTCTTACTGACTTGATGAGGGTGATTCACTTGACTTTGCTTCAGTTTCCTCACCTGTATAACGAGGACACTGGATTCAGTGATGTTTAAGAAACTTTCCTCTGTTTAATACTGCTAATTGAACCTTGTATCCAAGGAATACCATGACATTCTCTGATCAGTCAGCAAGCGTAGAGTCAGCACTTATAATGTGACAGATACCCTGGTAGTTGCTGGAGATACAAAGAAAAAATTAGAACAATAAATAAACATAAATAAGACAACAAATATTAATAATAATAATAAAGAAAAAAGAAAAAAACCCAAAACAGTCCTTGCCCTGACGGGGCTTACATTCCAAATTATTTGAAGAGTTTTTTTCAAGAACGTATGTACTGTGGATGATATAGAAATTTCTCAAAATGTATTTTGAGCTGCTGTGCTTTTTTCAAATTTATCATAACTGATTGATTTGACTACAAGCTCTGTGAGGACAGGAACCAGTTCTCAGCTGTGTATGTATGCCCCACAGGTCAAGGTACTCAACTGAATCAGCTTCAAATTGACATGCTATTTGATGCAAAACTTTAAGCATTTAGTTTAATTTTAGAAGAGTATTGGTAGTCTCTACTGTTATGTGAATGCTTTTACTCAGTGTACATGCTGAATACATTTCTATACACATAAATTGGTTTAGACTGGTTGAATTCAATCAAAGAAGGAGTTAGTAATGTTGGGGAGAAGCAACCAGCAGTTGAATTAAGTTGTGTTTCAACTAAATAGTTAACATATATACGTGTATATTAATATGCATATGTGCATATTAATTTAATATTAACTATTTTAAAACATATCTAAATACTATTTATTGTGCATATTTTCTTAATTAAAATATATTTAATGCATTTATTAATTTTTACTTAATTTATATTAATATGCATGTATGTACATGTTAGTTGATATGTACATACACCTGCATGTATGTATATAAAACATATATGCACACACGTATATACATTTGGTAGGTATACATTCAATCTAATATTTGCTTTTAGGCTAGTTAATTTAGAAGAGAGGAAAGAAAGAAAAATGTATCTGACTTATGAGTAATTAATTTCTTGTTTGGTGTAGAAAAGTGCCTGTAGGTACAGAAATATTTGAGAAATTGTATCTAGATTCCACTTACAGTCATAATCAAGTAAATTATTCTGATAAATGTTGTTTTTATTGTTTCATTATCATCCTAAGAGAAAGAACAGAAATTTTATTAAACACATACTTTAAAAATTTAGAGCCCTACTTTTATGACTGGGAAGACCATTATCATCACACTTAAATGAGAAAAATTTATCTACTTGTTAAAAAAAAAAAACAAAAACCATTTCCTTAGCAAACTAGTTTGTTACTTTGGGATTTCATCTCATCTGATCTCATCTGTGTAGTTACCCCTTTCAAAAGAGTTTTCTCATTCTATGTGATTGTCACATAAATCCTCCACAAGTCTCCACCTAACCTGCTACAGGCTTTACTCTGCTTCTCTTAGTATTGCATGGGTACCAAAAGAGTAACTGAACTGTGTTAATAGAATTATAAAGGAATTTGGAGAAAACCAACAGTTACAATATATTTTCCAAAGCTCCTAACAAATTCAACCTTGTTATATATGTATTTTGCAAGAAATGTTATCTTTTCAGAGTATTAGCTGATAAGATTCTATTTTGACAAAAATTATCTGCTTACACTTAGAGGGATTTTCCCATTCATTTTGTTCACAGATTGCACCCAAAAAATTTAGGGAAGTGCACTAGAATCTCATTCAGTACAACGTATGCATAATTCAGAGTTATTTGGGGCAGCTAGATGTCAAAATGGTTAGAATGCCAGGCCTGGAGGCAGGAAGACTCATCTTCCTGAGTTCAAATCCAGCCTCAGCTGTGTGATCTTGAGCTAGTCATAACCCTATTTGACTCAGTTTTCTCCTCTATAAAATGAGTAGAGAAAAAAAAAATGGGAACCACTCCATAATGTCTGCTGAGAAAATTCCAAATGGGGTCATGAAGAGTCAGACACAACTGAAAATGACTTAACAAAAAGAAAAATTATGTGTTACCTTCTCAGCTCCATAGCATAGCCAGTTGATCTACCAGTTTTTCAGATAAGGTAAGAAGGTATCGCTAGGGTCATTTTCCTGCCTCCTTGTGTTGTGCTGTCCGTATTCCTTCCCCTTTATTTGCTATTTATCTTTTTCTTTTTACTTCTTCTCTCGAGCAGTTTCCAGTCCTATGTATGCCTTCGGGTAAGAATGCAATTTGTCACCCCCTGCCGTATTACTAAAATGAGAGAATAAAGAGGAGCAAAATTCAGTCACTAATGTAGAAAAACCCCATCACTCCTGACAATATGTCCATGCTGTTTGAACCAACTTTGCATGTTATGAGTCCATCTTTGGCTCATAACAAACAAACTGAAAAGAACATTTTGAAATATAAGATCTCAAATAATGAGTGGGTTAGGGTAGTGCATACAGTATTCCACTCAACTCTATAATCACGCCCGTAATGGAGTTCAGTAAAGGCAAAATGTAAGTCTTGTGCTCCCACCCAGTACATACTCTACCTAGAACAGGCAGGAACCATACATCACTTAACAGCAAAACAAAACAAAACAGAAAACCTATCATGAGTATTTAAGACAGAAAATCAAAGTAAATTACAGGGAAGAAGATTAAGCAATAGAATCATTCCCAGCCCCCAGGCAAAAGTGGTTATAGTCTGTCATATACTCACACACTAATAGAGAAAGGGTTAACCTACTAGAAAACTCATGCTCCAGAGATAGAAAGGGTTTTAGCCTTTCTGTTACATTTCTTGTGTCATGACTAAAAGATTCTTCCTTTCAGAATCTACATCACTCTACCTCCCACAGTTCTTTACTCTGATGCTACATTATGATAGCCGTTCTCTGCTAAAAGCTCCAATCTGTGCCACTACGCTCTACTATTGTAGCCATTATCTTCTGTTATTCTTTTGCTGTGGTGGTAATATTCCAAATGAAGCTCGCTCTGTTGCTGTGCTACTTCTCTGTCATTTTCTTGCTGCTCTATTCTCCTTAGTTACTGTCTGCTGTGATTCTGTTCACCCTACTCCTGCGATAAGTCTTACATAAATGTTGCCTTAGGGAGGTGTTCCAAAAACAGGTTACAAGCCTTGGGATTGATATATCTTCATCCCCAGACTAAACACCCCTTACAGCTGCTGCAGTACTAGAACAGAAAGGGCTGTTCCAGCAACTGGAAGTTTTACCCTTCCCAATAGAAGGTCCCCAAATCTTGGTCCTAGAGGAGGGGAGGGCAAGTCAGTTTCTTTTCTTTCTTTTAAGCTTCAAGATTCCCAGTGAGGCAGGGGATAAGCACAGAGACACACAGACACCTCTTTCTATTATTCCTTTGAAACCGTCCTTTAAAACACAATCTTCGGACTTCATTTGTTTGATGAACATGGGCATTCATTAAAATAAGCGATAATTCAGAGTCTTATTAAATAGCAACTCTGTTTATTTTGCACTAGAGTTTTCCTTGGTTATGATTTTTAAGCCTCCCACTGTGACCCTCCTTAGCCTTCAGAAGAATGTTAAAAATGAACTGTTTCCATGCATCTCTTCTACTTAGATTGCAGTTAATTAAAGAACTATTCTGACATTAACAGAGACACACTTACAAACATTTTCTTCAGGGTTGTATTACTGTGCCAAAACAAAATAACCTAACTGGAGACCACAGGAGATGAAAATGAGGGGGAAGGGAAGGGGACTGTAGGATGATAGCCTTACTAATGTTAAAACACATAAATTGGCTAAGGCTAAGGCTAAGACACACACACATACACACACACAAGTATAGCTACCAGCAGAGAGGTTAATCCATTCTTCTCCTTTTATGATTCATCTCCATTGGAAAAGACAGATGTTTTCTACCTCTGCTTCCCTCCCACTTACCCTTAAATTTTACATACCAGCTGAACTATCAATCCTAATGTATCCAAAAATATCCCATCTTGGCAATACGTTCTTTTTGTATTCCAGTGCATCCTTATTTCCTGAAACTAGTTTTGTAGAGTGTTTCATGAATAATTTGAAAGGCCTGAATATAATTCTTTTTTGTCTGCCTTCTATGATTATATTCATTTTAGCATTCATTTCCTATCTGGTCCTCAGTTGCTTCATCTGTAAACTGAAGAGGTTGAACTCGCTAGATTTCTAAGTTCCCTTCCAGCTCCATATCAACAATGCTGTGATCTACCCTTCTGTCTAAATAAATCCATGTGCTTTTCATAGAAGCAAATAGCTCAATATTAATGGACCGTTTCCATGTGTACTTTGATACCACCATTAGCGCTTTTATTGCAAAAGTACATTGTAAACCACAATGAGAGAAAAATTTTGCCTCCACTGGCAATGCTCTCAGATTACATTTAAACAGCATACTTAGTTTGTACTTATATTTCTGATAGATTAAATTGCATTATTTCAAATCTTGCAGGATATATATATCTTTACAATTCCTCAGCTTGTAATTAGTTGAATGATTCTTATATTTTATATATAATTGAAATATATAGCAAAAGCACAATGAATGAATTACAATAACTTTTTAAATTACTCTTTTTCATTGCTCTTCCAGTATTAAATCTGTTTGCTCTTGCTGGAACCTTTCTGAGATGTGCACTCATCCAATGGGCAGTGAAATTGTCAAAAGGAAGTCACAGAAGGAAGATGGGCCAATTTAAATGGCACAGCCTAGATCAGCGGTTGTCAAACCCTAGTCTAAGGATCTCCCCTTTCCCCAATTCAGGGAGTCCATGATATCAAGACTATCAAGAAGTTTTCATTTCTAATACAATAAATGTTGATAGATATAAGTCATATAAACACAAGCTCTTTGGGTTCTTCAATTTTTTAAGAGTGTAAAAAGATCCTGAGACCAAAAAGTTTGGAATTGCTCACCTAGAGAACCATTTTACTGAGTAATTGCCTCAGAAAGAAGAGATCAGTCTTCCTCTAGCAACCCAGATTGTCAATGGGGTAAATGCCAGCAAACACTAGCTCACATTGATCAGTACAGAAAGTCATAGAAAGGGTTTTACAGCTTGAAGGAATCTTAGACGCCATTTAATCTATACCTTCTTATTTTAAAGAAGAGAAAATGGGGGTCGTGAGAAGTGGGCACATGACCAATGTCATAGAGGTAGAGCTCAGATCTAGACCTAAGCCAGGTGATGCCAAATTCAACTTTCTGTATTTATGCTTGAGTGCCTCTGGTCTTTTTCATTGTTATAGTCCTTCCCTCTTTATTCCCACAAAAACCAAAGACTTTGTCAGCCACTGTATGTAAGCAACTAAAAGCCCTTTTTTCTTAGCCTTAGCATGAGGAAGGAATCATAGCCCGATAATAGACAGTATTAATCAAGCATCACTTGTTTTCTAGGCCCTTTGCAAAACACAATGTTAGACAATATCCCAGCTGCTCAGAAATACCAGTAGGAAAAAAAAAGCCAAAACTGTGTTTATCATCCCCATTCTTTTGGTACTTCTTGGGAAAGGAAGTCCTTGTAAGAGCCTCAGTAGATAGAACAGGGACATTGATGTACCTCAAACACAATTGGAAAACTAGACTGTCCTGGAAATTGTGCCTGCCACTGATGGCTTTTCAGACTTTACTGTGAACCAGCACCCATGTCCATGATATCAGAAAATAGATCCCTGGAGGGCATGGAAGGTGAGATTATCCTACATAAAAATATATGCATTTATAAAAAATATATATTCAGAGTTGTATCTCATCATGCCCCTGCATGCAAAGCCCAAGGCAACTGCAGAATTGGTCAATATCTAGTCCTACTTTGATATGTGATTAAATAACTCTTAGTATTTGGAAAACTATGAAAATGAATATCCAATGTGAACTCTCAAGGTTATAAAAAATAAAATTGTCATTAGATTGTCACTTTCTTGAGGGTGGTAACCATATCTTCTGGAATTTTCTTATTATTCCCCCCATGGTTACTTGTTCCACAACTGTTCCACAGTAGCTGCTTAAAAATGTTGACTAACCACTTTCATCTAAGTGCTCTAAATACTGGATATTTAATGTTAAGAAATGACATTATTACTTTTACATATTTGGGGATTTTCATGCTGTGTCCCTTATCAGATACCAAAGGAACTCCCAGGGAGTTTGTAAAGGATCATTCATCTGACAGAGGCAACATCCATATAGTAAGATTCACTGCAAAGTTGCAGATTCAGATGTGGTGCTTTGTCAAATAACAGAAGGTCTTTCTCATTTGTGATCTTTAATGGAATTATCTTTAATTCACTTTTCTTCTATTTCCTTTTTCTTTTCTTTTGTTTGTTTGATAGCAGCAACCATGGAAACCCTTTTCCTTCTGATAGTGTCACATAGGATGGTGAGGCAGAGAAGGGGAGGGCAAACAGAGGAATCAAGGAATATGGTTTCCTAGGCAACAGTCCTCTGAGAAACCCATAGGTGGCACATGTTATAGATTTGTCAACTAAATCACATTCATGAATCTATATGAGTTGAATTTCAGCAGGGTGGCTGTTTTTTCCATTCCTAAAACTGAGCTAACTAAAACAAAACAAACAAAATAGAATAATCCTTTGCATAATAATGCTGAATATAATTGAAGGGAATGGGAAGGAGTCCATTATATTATGTAAATCTTCCATAATGATATGAGGAAAGAGATTAAGGAAGGTTTACAAACCCTTTCTACCAATATTTCAAAGTGGGTTCCGTGGTGTTGTAGTGTAGACTGAAATTTTAAAGAGAGCTGGATTCTCACAGAACCCAAGAGAACCAAGCAGCTGACAGAGCAAGTTATCTGAATTTGATAGGAATTGACGTCAGAGCACTGGGAATGCCCAAGGCAATTCTGCATCCAGCTTCTCTGCGCATTCTTTTGAAAGTAATGAGGACGTCTGTGCGTTAATCATTTTCTGACAGTTTAGGCTCTAGTCTCCTGCAAAAATGAAAGAGTGTGTGTGTGTGTGTGTGTGTGTGTGTGTGTGTGTGTGTGTGTGTGTAAATGTGTGTCTTTTCTTCTTTCTGAAACTTAAAAAAATCTATTTCTGTTCTAAAAGTAATTCTTTGGGAATATTGCAAATAGCTTTAGACGATCCATTACTGTGGCTAGATATTCGTTTTGCAAACTACTAAACCATGACTGTAAAAATGTGCTGGGAACAATAGCTTAGTTATTCTCCGAAAGCAAACAGCTATCAAGGGAAGACAATATTTCTAAGACATTGCCTCATAGATATTTCTGGTTGTTAATTTCTTGGACTTTTTTTTTCTTTCTTCCTCTAAAATGTGAATAGCGTCAGACATCTGTTAACCATGATTCTCCTCTAAAAACCTAGCAAAATCATGCTGTGAAAATAGAGGTCAGATTACTGATACTTGACCCAAATAAGACTCATTACTGATTCATTTATTAGATCCTGGGCACAGCCTATCCCCATAATATCTATCAATCAGTCAATTAACAAGGATCCTTTTGAATTTTTATTGTTCTCTCAGTACACTATGGTATCATTAAAACATGCTGATTTAGAGTTGAGCAAATGAGTTCTAATCCCAACTCTGCTGCTTCTTACCTGTGTGACCTTGGGCAAATCCCTTGACTTCTCCAGGTCTCAGTTTCTGTAACTAAAAATTGAGGGGGTTAAACATCTAAGGTCCTTCCTGTTCTAAATCTATGACCCTATGAAACTAGTGGAGCGTGGGCAAATGCCTTGACAGAGATTATTCTAGTATGAAATAGCAACAAGAATTAGACATTTTCTTTATTACTCTTAAACACCAGGGTTTCTCCAGATTTGTGGTGGAAAGATATTGTAGAAAGGAGTTTTTTGTCGTCTTCTAATACTGTGGTGTCTCAGTGGTGAGTGACCGATGAGTCCACATACAAGTTCCATTTCTTTTGTAGTAGGTTTGAGGAGTCATCAAAAGTCAGGTGAATCAAAAATAACATAGTCAGGTGAAGGATTGATGTCCTGGCATGGCCGGAGCAGTTGCCTTGGTTTTTTATTGTTGGCAGGGGATAAGACAGAGAACAGGATAATGCGTTCTAATTCTTTCAATTTATCTGTTTGATTTAGAAATGTCAAAACTGAATCACATGTTTAGAGGTGTAAGGGACCTTAGAGATCATGTTTTCTAACAAACTCATTCTACACATGGGGAATCTGAGGTCCAGAAATGTGACTTGCCTTAGGTCCCACAGGTAATAAGTGGCAGAGAAAGGCAGGATTTGAGCCCAGGTCCTCTGATTCTCAATCCGTCCTTATTTCCATTGCATCACATACAGACACAGACACATATACCACCTTTGTGATTACCTCATTAGGATTCTGCTTTGAACATGCTGGCAGGAAGGTTTACCAAGATCTCCAAAAATATAGATCATTATATAGTCTGTAGTTTTCAAAGACAAAAGTTATTTTTCTGAGTCAGGTCAGGCTAAACCTAGAAATGGTTGATGGATGGTTAGCTTTAGCTTTCCAGGTCCCATTATGTGTTGGCCATAGAAAATATTCGTTGTGAAACTAGATCCAGTATTGCATCTTGGCAAATTAGCTGCAATTCAAATGCCTCAGGTGTAAAAGAAAATAGATTAAGCCAGAGAAGCAATTTGGCCCTGGGTACAGATGAGACCCAGCAACAGGATTCCAGATTATGCTTGCCGAACAGTGGCACTTAAAGAGCCCTGCAGGTCCCAGGGTGACCTCAGGACTAATGGGATACAGACAGATTCACTTTGAGTGGAAATATGTTTTTAAATATACCCCAGGCTGAATTCTATAGAAGTCTTGTAAAAAATACTGAAGTCTTAGAAATGATCTAGGCTCTAGGAGTACCCAAATCTATTCAAGGTTTGGTTAAGCACATGTCATGGGTTTAGTAGATGTACACAAGAAAGGTACTATTCCTGTGACCTTGTGGAACCCACAGTCCAGAGATTTAATGGTTAATTACTATTTAATTTTAGAATAAGAATTAGAAAAGTCAGAAAAGGTATCAAATATTTATTAAATAATTATTTGTTAATAGTTACTTAAAATCAGTGTTTTCCAGGCATCCTTAAAA